CCCATCCAGGTGTTTTTATAGCTATAAAAAGGATTTCAGATTTCTCGGTCTCCCAGGGCAGCCAATGACGACTCACAATGTGTCGGCCCGAGGGGCTCCTCAGAGCCCTGGAAGACGTCCGAAGAGGGCTCAAGTTGGTTCCCGGGCGGTCCCAGAAGACTCCAATATTGCCCAAGATATTCGCAAGTTGGCATCAAGACGGACTGAGATGGCTTGAAGACCGCGCCAGACGGGTTCAAGACGGCCCCAGATGGCTTCAAGACGGCGCAAGACGCCCCACGATGACACTGAGACGGCCCTGGCTGGTTGCAAGACGGCTCGGCGCTCTAAGAGCTTTTCTTGGAGGCCCTGTGTCTGTAGTTTTTGCACGAGGGATCGTCGCCTTGGGGAGGGGGTGGCGTTACACGCAGCCCAATGCAGCCAGAGGGGGGCGGGCGCTTTAGAATCATTGCAGTAACTCTACAGAACAGACCTTGGCAATCTACCACTCCTCAACGTGCCAGGGGACATGGCGGCAGATTTAGGGTGACGATGGGGCGGACTGCGTCTTGTCACTCTGTTCACCGTCTTCTTCTCAGCCGTACTTCCATTAATTTCAATGTGCTGTGTTCTTGCCGTGCTATGGGAGTGATGTCGCACCTCTCTCCCCTCTAGCTACCCTTGCATGGCTGCTGCCAGTCTTTGACCACTCAATCGGCCCTACAAACTCAAGAGGCCTCTTGTGGGTGGCCCCAGAGGCAATGTTACAGTAGCGCGCCGTCCGATGTTACAGTAGGGCGGCGTGATGTTACAGTAACACGCGGGGTGCAGTTACAGTAGTTTGCCCTCGCGATTCGCAGCAGGGGGCGAACCCTGGGCGGCGCAACATGGCATTGAGGAGGTTTCACACGAGATCGAGGTTTCGGGAAGAGGAATAGCTCTGAATCCGTGCACCACTGAAACATTCCAGGATTCAGGGCAGCGGCGTGGGAGGGAGCTGACTAAAGAGGAAGCGGTGGATGAGGAAGCGGTGGATGACGCCAGCTATGTCAGTCTTCGCTAACACCGAAAGCTCTCCGATCATCATGATTCCATTTCGCCGAGGGAGAATGCCTGATCATCTGCACCGTCGTCATCCATCTTCGGCTCCCTCCCTCCTCCTCTCCCTTCCTGAGGCAGGTGCTGTTCAAGCCACTCTGTCGCGGTGTTGGTCGACCGCCCTGCTTTTTGCCGCGCGGCTGTCTTGCGGGGCTGCTTTCTGTTCGGCGTCTTGTGTTTTGCAACCCTCTCGGTTGATCTTCAGAGGCCTTTTACTGCATTGTTGGTGTTCGCACGTCGGTTAGATTTCTGGGCTCATTCGTTGGGTTTGTCTGTTGCTTTGTTCTGGGTGGCGGATGAGCGGTCCGAGCCGTCGCATCTTTCGCGTTGCGCGTGCCGCTGATGCGATCAGAGTGTGATCCGCGTTCCTCCTGCTCTTCATTCTCCTCCTCCTCCTCCTCCTCCTCCTCCTCCTCCTCCTCCTCCTCCTCTCTCCGCTCTTGCGGCGCTTTCCCCCTTTCCCATCGCTCGTTCCCTTTCCACCCTAGCTGTTTTTTTGTTTAACCGTTTTGGCCCAACATGTGCCGTAGGTACGGGTTCCGCAGCGCTGGTGTCATGTATTCCGTTTTTCGTTTGTTGCGGGATTGGCGATTGAGCGGTGTTTGGTGTTTTCGATTTTTTTTCAGAGGCATCTTGAAATTTGTGCGTTGGTCTGCACGTTTCTCTTAGTTCGGCCCTGGGCAGGTCTTGGATGGTTTGGTCGTGTGTCTGTACCTTGAGATGGACGCCCATCTGTCTCGGGTCTTGCTTCCTTCGATTCCGCCGTCTCTCTTGCAGGATCCGAGATTTAATGCGGCATTCGGCTGGCGACGGCCACGTCGTCTTCTCCTCCTTGCTCTGGGGATGCCCGGGGCCGCTCCTTGTTCCCCTCCTCCCTGCGTGTTTCGCATACGTGTTCTTGGTGTCCTTGCGCGTTTCTGTAATGATGCTTCGTTGTCCGCTGTCGTTGTGCATTTGTGATCTCCTATGGCCCCTCCTTCTTGAGAGGCGTTCGGGCTGAGAGTTTGCCGCATGTGCTACTGTAGCGTCCTGTCCTTGTGGAGTCTGCGCTCCGACTCGGGTGGCGCGATGGCGATGGCCAGCTCGTTTGACTTACTGTAGCATTGCGTTTGGTGGGAGTGTTGCGCGCCGTCTGGCGTTACTGTAATATGTTTCTGGGTCTCGCTGAGTTACTGTAGCATTCTCGGCCCCGTGGTCCTACTGCAACATCGTAGTTTGTCTTTTGCTTAGGTTTCTTGCAGTGCTGCAGTAACTTTTCTGGTGTCCTTGGGCGCTGCTGCCCTGGACTTGCAGCAACTCGCGCGGACTTTGCGATGCGTCGCCGCTTGTGCTCCATTGGCCGTTGCCTGGTGTTGCAGTAACTCTCCCTTTGTTGTTGCACGGTGCAGTTTCGCGACTGTCCCGCCCCCGCCCCCGCCCCGAAACAGTTACAGTAGCTGTCTGCGCGTTGGTGGCGCCGTGCAGCCCCATGCGTCGACCGGCGCCCATGCCCCAGCGTCGACCAGAGCCCGGATTACATGATCTGCGTTTGAAACCAGAGTTGGATTCTGTCGTCATCAATGGGAGGGATATTCGCTTACCCTTGTTTGGCAAGTTCGGGTTCTGGGGTGGGGAAGTTTTGCGAGTAACGATTTGTCGACTATCTATAACTGTTGGCTGGCCGTCTTTGGGCGTGCCCGCCCGAACGCCATCGTGACCCGGCCGCGTGGCCGATAGACGCGCGCTAGAGGAATGGCCGCTCGAAACTTCGCGTCTGGTGATCCGTCATTTGGGACGATATGTCAGAATTTCTTGCGCGTTGGTCCATCCAGCGGTTTTCTCCCGCAAGTTCCGCGACACGAATATCTTCGGCTACCGCGCAAAAGGACCTGCCCCCAACTCTCCGCGCAACTGCAGCATTTCATGCCCCCCTCCCGACCTCCCCCTCCTCGACCTCTTCTTTTGTTCCCTCGCCCGCGGCTACGGTGGAAGGTCGCCCCCATTGCCCCCCCCCCCCCCCCCCTCTTTACGCCGCAGTGCTCGTGCCGTATGCGTCATCCCACCCCGTGGGATAGTTTCTCCAGAAGGTCCAAGATGCAGTTGTGTTGAATCTTAGGTTTCAAACGCTGACTGGCTTTGCACACGCCCCCGCCAACCCGCGCGACGCCATCGGGTGGGCCCAGACACATCGATTCCCTTGATGGGCAGAGGAGGGAAACGATTAACTTCCCCCTCACAAACAACGGAAACGTACCGATTCCCTCCTCCAGAAAAAGGGTGGGCGGCGCCTCGCCTTGCGTGCTCCCACTTGGTTGGGTTAGTACACGCGCAAACACTGGAAACATCATCGCGTGAACCTCAGGGTGTCAAGCCTTATGAGGAGGTGTTAGCCGTGCCGCTTCTGACATGCATTTTGACGACAACCGCTTGGTTGCTCGGTCATTTGATTGTGTGGGTGGTTGCTTCAGTGAGTGGTTTGCGGTCGTTTGTGCCCGGGTGGCCGTCCACATCGCTCGTTGGTGGAGTGGGGCGTGATCGATGTCGTCTTCACCCCCGCCTTTGCCATCGTGCAATTCATCTTGCCATGTTGTTAACATACTTCCCTTTCAGCGTCCTCATCATCTGAGGAGCTCCGCGAAGTTGTTAGAGAACGAGAGAGAGAAAGAGATCGCCTTCATTGCTGTAATTAGCTGCTTGGCATCACCCTCAAGCGCAACACGAGTCACAGTAACATATTGCGTGGCGGCCACAAATCGTGGTGTGACGTTGCAGTTGGGTTTGCCCCGAAGAGTTTGTATCGCTCCTCTCGCAGCGTTGCTCAGGATCAGCAGGATGTCGCGTCGTGACCGCGCAGAGGAACAAAGGGAAGGCAGGAGGGGGAACAGGGCGATGGGGGAGGAAATTGGGGGGCAAGGGGGTATGAAGGGGAAGTGGGAGTAAGGCACTGGGGAGAAATAGCTGGGGGACTAGAGAGCAGGGGGTTCGGGAACGAGCATTGGGGACAGTTGGCATTGTGATTTCCCTCCGCCTCCGAGCACCTTTTGCCCACGCAATGCAATTTCCATATGCCATTCCGATGGTGCCACCCGTGGGACGACGTGCTCCGGAGCCGCTTGGGTTTTGGAAACCGTATTCGGTCATGACCTGCATAGTCACATGCTCATTGTGGCAATGCGGAGCATATTCGCGTATTCCTTGCTACGCCAGTGGCTGCGTTCACGGCGGAAACCATTGCGCTTGATGATGCCCTCTCGCATGTGCACAACATTCGTTTTCAATGCCGCTACCACAAACGCAGTAGAACGAACTGCGCCGATACCGCCTCGAGTGTTGCCCGTCGTGCCTGGTCCTTCCCCAGCCCGCTGGCCTCGCTGTGTGACCCTTGGCTCCTCTCCTTCCCCGCCGCCCCCCTCCCCGTGTCCTCCCCTCTGCTTCCCCCATGTGCTTCCTCCCCCTTGTGTGTTGTGCCTTCCCCTCTCTCTACCTGCTTGGCTTCCCCTCTTTTGTCCTCCCCCTCCCTCCGGTTGTCGGCCTGGCCTGTTCTTTCCTGTCGTCGTCCCTCCCTCTCCTTCCCCTTTCTCGCTCCTCGGTTGCTCGCTCTCCTGCCCGTCCCTGTTCCGTCCCTGGCCCGTTTTTCTTGTCGGCCCGCCCTGCGGTCTGAGTACGAGTTCGTCGGCAGGAACTGGCACCTTGCTCTGTGAAAGATTGCCCAGCGCTGCGCGCTCCAGGGTTGTGAAAGAAACATCGGAGGAGGAGGAGGAGGAGGGGGATGAGGAGGAGGAGGAGGAGTTGGGAGAGGAGGAGGAAGTGGATCGAAGGAAGGAGGAGGAGGAGGAGGTGGAGAAGAAGGAGGAGGAGGACGACGACGATCCCCTCCGCCTTTTCTTCCTTCCCCTCCTGCTCCTCCTGCTACCCCTGGACCTGCTCTGGGGCGCGCGACCGAGGAGTGCCTCAACATGAGCTGCCGGGTGCTGCAGAGGGGCGTCGAGCACGCGGTGCTGCGCCGCGTGGCGAGCGACGCCGTGGCCCCTGGGAGCCAACCGGCAGGCTGGGAGAACTTCGGGTCGGTCGAGGAGGGGTCCGCTCGGACCTCGCGGATCGGCGGTGGGCACTTTGCCGAAGACGGCTTGTGCCCCCCAGAGGTGGACCTAAACGGGGTTTGGGTGATTTCGTGGGCCGTTTTCGTTTCGATTTCGTTTTGCGGTAAAGGCGGATTGAAGGCGAAACGAGGGAAAACGAATAACAAAACGAAAACGAAAAACACCGTTTAGGTTCAGCCCTGGTGACCCCTGCTGGCCTCCGAGCGTCGATGGTTATGCCACCGTTGGTTCCCTGACGATCCCCAAGACTCAGGAGAGGCAGCTCTGCCTCGGGTTTCCCTGCCTTGGGATGCGTTCCAGCAGCTGCGCCGCGCCGAGGGCCTTCTGCAAGAGCCCGGATCGTCCCGAGCGGTCGCCGGAGATCGGGGGCATGGTCCGGAAGCCGGTTCCTGCCTGGGGGGCTACGGTCGGGAATTTTTGGACAGCGTGTCGATCCGCCGGTCTTGGCCCAACACGCCTCGGTGCGGCACGCTATGCCCTCTCCAGTCCCAGAGCGTCAACGTCCTGAGCTCTCCCGATCCTCTCGATCCGCGGAGCGTGTCGCTGGTGCCGCCGAGGCGACACGCGAAGCAAAAGTTCCCGACCGTAGTTGAGACCCCACGGGGCGGCTTGGGAGGTGCCCGGATGGCCCCGCAAGGGGTCGGCCGAGAGCTCGCAGGCACGAAGCCGATGCCTGCGTCGTGGGAAAAGCGCAGCGGAAGGTGTCTCACGAGAGGATGGGCACACCGCGTTTCCCAAGAAAAGGAGGGGCGCCACCATTGTTCAAGGCGGTTATTTTTTAGGTTCTCGTCACACCAGCCATGAGAGGGCTGCCTTTTACCTGGACGCACCTGGAGCCCTCCAAGACAGCTCAAATCATCTTTCCAATAACAATCATACCACCTCCCCTTTCATGGTGAAATCTGGAGTGCTGACACCGCTGTTCGTCCTGGAGAGCCCTCGTCGCCACGGCTTGGAATTTCTGGCCAGGATGCGCTTCTGTTCCCTCGAAGAGGCGAGAGTCAGCCGGCATGTAACGACGTTCATCGCAAACGGCGTTCAGCCAGAGCGCTGGATCCTTCGAAGACGGACATTTACCGACATCTGCACGTGAGGCAACTATTCTTGTGAACGCTCCATAAACAAGGAACACACTGCGACATACGCAATACTCGGGAAGGCGATACAATGTCGAGACGTTCACGCCGCACACTTGCGCAACATAGAACGGGGGAGGAGGAGGAAGAGCAGGAGGAGGAAGAGGGAGGGGAGGGCAAGAAGGATAGCGAAGGAAGAGGCGGAAACGCTGGTGAGAGTATCAGCGCCTAGCGGTACATCTGGTCGGCTCGCTCGCGCTGTCGCTGCAGCTGCAGGTGACGTGCGCGTGAGGATGGGGGGGAGTGGGGACTGGGCCATTGAGGACAGCGGCAGACGCTACATGACGCTCCAGCGCCCTGAGCACTGTGATGCAACAGCGCCGCGCGCTGACTGAGGCTAGCCACCCATGGAGCAGCGAGGTCTAGTCTGGATGCGCGTGTCCCCCAACTCTTGTAGACCTCCCAGGAGCCAGCGAAAATTGACAATTGCGCAGTTCGCAGCCAACCAGGGAGCTGCGAGGTCCCGTCTGGACGCGCGTGGAACCAGGCTCCGCTGGACCTCCGGGGAGTACACGGACGTTGGCGAGGAGAGGGCTTTGACCCCCCCCTCTCATGCTTGGCCGCGCGCATACTACGGCGATCGCAGCGCACACCCGTCCCGACGTGCCCCCCCCCCCCCCCCCCCCCGCAGGAACGCTACCGTTGGTCGCAAAGCCCCCCCCAGGGTCGTTGTGTCATGGGGGGCGTTAAATGTAAGGGTGAAGGAAGGTGCACATTGCGTTCGCTTAAGGCGCGCGAACGGGGCGCCCTGGTACCCCAACAGGGCACGAAATGAACACACTTGCCCCCCGCTCACACCCGCATGTTTCTGTTCCCGCGCATGCTACGACGATCGCAGCGCACACCCGCCCCGACATGTTCCACCCCGTGCTAGCGTTATTGCTACCTCCCCCCCTTGGGGGTAACGACCGTTATTCGGACAGGGCCAGAACAAGGATAAGTCGTTCCAGCTCCAGAGCGCCCTCACAGCGTTTCAGGCGTTTCAAAACGCTGCGAGAAGGCCGCGACGCCCGATGCATCCCCCAAAGCCGCCAGATTTCAGAGATCCCCGATTTATCCCTGTGCGATTATGTCCTCGTCTGTTACCGGACACATCAAAGACACGATATCATAGAGGTTGCCCCCCTGCCCCCCGAAAAGGTGGAGCGGGGCCTCGACCGGGTGCTCGTGCCCGTGGCGGAGACTCCACGCAACGGGCGCGCTCCCCGGAGTGGCGTGGGGCTCACCCACCATGGTTCAGCGCTGACGGGGGTCAGCGCCTATGGGGGTCAGTGCGAAGGAGATTTTTGGAGCCGCGTGGGGCCGATTTCCCCTCACCGCCCTCCGCTGGTCCACTTCTGGGAGCTGCCGACAGGCGGGCTGGGCTTCGCCGCAGGGCCCTGGCCGACCCACGTTGGGTTGATCCAGGTTGTTGCGCGCCCGAAGGTCCGAGGCCTAGAAGTTGACACCAACACCACAATTGGCGGTGTGTCTTGACCGAGGAAAAAGTATCCCGATTTCGGCGATGGTGGTAATACTATGGCTTCCTGGGCGGCCGAAGTATTACCACCAACACCGAACTCTAGGATCATCTTCCCCCGGTGGAGGCAGACCCCTGTGTTGGTGTTGGTGTCCATATCCAAGCCTCGAAGAAGAGGACGGGGGCGGCAGAGGGGGGGCGCACGGGCGCGCGGTGCCGGGCAGGAGGCGGGAGGGGACCCGAGATCCGGGCGCGGCACTCTGTTCGCGCTCGGCGATTCTCACCCCGTCGCGGGCCGCAGCAGGGCCAGCACAGGTCGGTCAGGCTCGAACAAGGCAGCAGAAAGATTGGGTCGAGGGCTCGGGCCGTGATTTTTGTTTGAGTGTTGCGCTTCCTTCGCAGCGTCGGCAAATGGCGACTGGGGAGCAATAGAACTCAGGGGGATCAGGGATTGCAAGGACAGGAACGGGCCCCTGAACTGCCACGGCGGGCCCAACAGGTGCCCGCTTCTTCCTCCACCCGTTGACGCACACCCAGCAAAGGGTGGCGCAAGGTCGCGCGGTGTCGGGCGGGAGGGAGGAAGGTTGAGACGAGGAGGAACTTCATGTCAGAGCAGGAAGCGGAAGGGATGCCACCACCCTTGCTTCATTTTCACCTCTTCGGGCCTCCCAGGAGGCCTTCGTCACCACGGTTGGATTTCCCAATCCATTCTTTCTTATCGGAACGCACCCAGGGATATGTCATGGAGCATGCAGCGATATCCGTGTCTTTTGGTTTTCCCGGGAGTAAGAGAAAGAGGGGGAACGTGAGAGGGAGAAGGAGAGGGAGAGGGAAAGAGAGAGCGACAGAGAGAGAAGGAGAGGGAGGGGAGGACGGATGGTTGATGCTGCAGCTGATTGGGCTCGGGCACCACCTGTCAGACAAAAGGGCGGCACTCAACTGGCAGAACCGGAGCTGCACCCCAAGCGGTGCAATGGAAGCGTTGGCTGAGGAATGAACAACACTGGACATTTGGGAAAGCGCGCCAGTGGATGGCCCTGGATACAGTAAAGGGTGTGTGTGCTCGCAGAACCCCCCCTCCCCCCCTTCAAAGGGGGGGTGAGATTTTCGACCCCTCCCCCTCCCCCCCTCCTCCCTTGGCGCTGGAAAGGGGGGGGGTCGGACCCCCCCCCCCCCTCCCCCTCTTTGCGCTGAACAGGGGGCTGGGGAGGGGTCCTCTCGGGTAGTGGGTAGAGAGTACAGTGTTTTGAGTAGCGATTGGTGAGGAGTAGTCGGTATTTTATACTGAGTAGCGCGCAATGAATCGTGAGTGGTGAGTAGTGAGTAGTGGGTAATCGGCAGTGGTAGTAGTGAGTAGCGCGTAGAGATTAGTGAGTCGTGCGTAGTGGGTAGTGAGTAGTGGGAAGAAAGTTGTTAGTTCGGAATTGTGAGTGGTGGGGAGTGAGTGGTGTGTAGTGAGTAGTGCATAGTGAATAGTAAGCAGGGAGTAGGGATGAGGGAGTAGACAGTAGCGAATAGCGAAGAGTAAGTCGTGAATCGTGAGTTGTGAGTAGTGCGCAGCGAGTAGAGAGTAGTGAGTAGTGAGTGGTGAGTAGCGAGTAGTGAGTAGCGAGTAGGGAGTGGCGAGTAGGGGGTAGCGCATAGTGGTTGGTGAGGAGCGAGCAAGGCGTTGTGAGTAGAGAGTAGTGAGGAGGGAGTAGCCAGGAGTCACTAGTGAGTAGTGAGTAGAGAGTAGTGCGTGGCGAGTAGGAGTAGCGAGTAATGAGTACTGAGTAGTGAGTTGTCAGTAGTGAGTAGGGCGGAGTGAGTAGTGAGTAGAGAGTAGTGAGAAGTGAGAAGTGGGTATGGAGTAGTCCGTAGTGAGTAGGGGGTAGCGAGTAGAAGTTCGTGACTAGTGAGTCGTGAGTAGTGAGTAGTGAGTAGCGGCTTGCGACTAGTGACTGTAGTGAGTAGGGAATGGGGAGTATTGAGTAGTGAAAAGCGAGTAATGCGTAGTATTTGGTAGCGAGTGGCGGATAGTGAGTAGTGGGTTATGGGCAGTGCGTAGAGAGTGGTGAATTGTGACTTCCCAATAGTAAGTAGTGGATAGTGGTTAGTGGGTAGTGAGTAGTTCTTAGTGAGTAGTGAGTAGTGGGCAGTGGGTAGTGTTTAGTGAGTAGTGTGTATTGAGTATTGGGTAATGCGTAGTGAGTTGGGAGTAGTGAGTAGGGGCGAGGAAGTAGTGAGTAGTGAGTAGTGGGGGCGTAGTGAGTAGTGAGTAGTGAGTATTGTGCAGGGAGTAAGGAGTATCTTGTAGCGTTATTGGGTACTGACTAGTGAGATGTGGGCACTGAGTAGTGAAGTGTAAGTTATTGAGTAGTGGTTAGTGGATAGTGAGTAGTGATTTGTGATTCGCGTGTAGTGGGTAGTGGGGTGTGTTTAGTGAGTAGTGAGTATTGCGTAGTAGTTTGTAGTGAGTAGTGAGTAGCGGGTAGGGAGTAGGGGGTAGTGAGTAGTGCGTCGTGGGTGGTGAGTCGTGGGTAGGGAGTAGTGAGTTGTGAGTAGTGAATAGTGGGTAGTGAGAAATGAATAGTGCGTAGCGAATACTGAATTGTGCGTAGTGAATAGTGCGTAATGGGTAGTGAGTGCTGTTGGGGGCTAGGGTTTGGGTTTGGGGTAGGGTTAGGGGTTAGGGCACGGGTGAGGATTAGTGTTAGGGGTGGCAGGGGTAGGATTCCGGAGACGGGGGGCGCCGTGGCGAAAGGGGGGAGGGGGGGGAGGGGGTCGAATTTGGCGGCCAAAGGGGGGGAGGGGTGGTGGTGTCGGAACCCCCACGACGACGGACCCGGAAAGAGGGGGAGGGGGGGGCGTTCCCCCACGACGGATCGGGAAAGGAGGGGAGGGGGGGGGGTCCCGACGACGGATCAGGGAAGGGAAGGGGGGGGGGGGGTCCCACCCCCCCCCTTGGGGTCATCCAGCGGCGCGCCCTCGACATTTGGTACGGGCGGGGGGAAGGGGTGGTGGGGTCATCCAGCGGCGCGCCCTCGACATTTGGTACGGGCGTCAAGAATCGAGGTCGGAGAACAGAGCAGAGCAAATCAGCCTTCGCGACGAAAACGACGCGGCGCGTCGTCCCGAAACGCAGTCTGCGCTTCGGGACGATGCGCCCCGTCGCCTCCCTCGTCCTCCTCCTCCCTGTCCGTCTCCCTCGTTCTCTCCGTCTCACTCCCCCCTCTCCATCCTTTGCCTCTGCGCTGCGCGGAGGCAAGGGAGGGAGAGGGGAGAGGGAGGGAGGGAAAGAGAACGAGAGAGAGAGAGAGCATGGGCGGAGCCGGCGGGGGAGGAAGACCCCGTGCCCGCAGGTGGGGTTAGGCTATAGCCAAGGCCGCATGGACGGCGGCCCCCCCCCTGGCCTCCTTGGGAACGCACTCCCGCCTTCTCACAAGGCCGCCCCCCTGGCGCTACCCCCCTGCAGGGTTCGTGTCGATCTGGACGGTCCGATGCGGTGTCGGTGCTGGCGGGCCCGAGGCGATTCGCTCCTGATGGTCCGACGATCTCGTGCGGCCCGCTGCATGCACGGCGCTGCTGTGCCTCCTGGCGCAGCCTCCTCCCGCTCCATGTCGAGTCCGGCTGATGCATCCCGACCCGACGCAGACTGCGATTCCATGCTACGTACTTGCCGATTCTGTGCGGACGGATCCTGCTTCGTGCGCGCCGGCAGGTCTTCGCCGCCATGGCGTCCTCTCCGTCCAGGGCCCTCCAGTGGGCTCCGGCCTCGCGTGCCCCTCCGGCAGATCGGGGCGTCGCAGGCAGAGTGGTGGCGGCCAGCTTTTCAGCCTCTTCGGCCTCCACAGGCCGCTTCCTGACCCCAGGGCCGTGAAACATCGGCTCGGGGTGGAGAGCAGGCCCTGGAGAAGGGAAGGGACTTGTTTTGTGCCTGCCTGTTTGTTCGTTCCCTTGCTCGTATGGGTGGGCATGTGTACATCAAAGCCGACGTTTGTGCGCGCATTCCCAGTTGTTGCGCCGTTCCGAGGGCCTCGCATGCCTGAGCTCAATCCTTCTCGCTGGTTGTGACTGGATTCGTTTGCTCCGCTGTTCGGGTTTGGCGCTGGTTGATGTTCCCCTGCTCTGCATTGGTCTGAGGGTATCTGCGCTGGCACGCAAGGTTCCCGCGAGGCGTTCCGTTGCAGTTCGTTGGCCAGGGCCTGGTGCCTGCCTCCAGCCCGCTCCCCGCCGCAGGCGCGTGAGGGCCTTCTTGAGCAGCGTGGCGACATGGGCAGGCGTCGAGGAGCTCACAGGCGAAAGAGGTACAGATGTCGTTACCCTTCCCTCGTTTTCCCTGTTTGGGGCCTCCCACGAGGCCCTCGTCGCCACGGCTGGAATCGTTTCGACATTCTGGTCAGAAAGCACCCCCGGAGAGGTCTTGGGAGCAGCGGTATCGGTACCTTCTCGTTTCCCCAGGAGCAGCCCGCAGATCGCCGCTTTGAGTAGATTCTGGCCTGTGCCGCTATCGCCCTGCACGAGTATTTCGGGGGCCCCCAAACGCCACCGCTCGCTACGAGAAAAGAGGCCTCTCTCGCTCGGGGCCCCGCGGGACCGTTTTTCCCCGCGCGGGTCGTCGAGTGGCCCAGCAGGGCCTACTCGACTCGTTTTGTGTTTCCGCTAGCCGTGCCTTAGACGTGCGTCACGCTACGGCCGCATAACATGAACGGCTCGTGTTCTCATTCCGTGGTAGAATGAACCGTTCATTTTGTCAGGGGGGCGAGCAAATTTACCGTTGATTTTTGGCTTCGCTTTTTTTTGGACGGGGCAGACATGACCATAATATACCGCTATATATTTTATAAAGAAGTGCTCATTTGTTCTCCAGAGCCGCCATATCTCAAAGGGTTCTCGCTTTATTTTCACCCTAATAAATTATCGTCCTGTCTTCGTCTTAAGCACGCTTGGGAATGTATCGTCACCCCTTCGTCGTACTTGATGGCGGCAGCGGTGGCCGATGAGCCGCGCTGCGCGGCTCCCCGAGAGGACTGGCGGGGCACCGCCGCGCCCGCGGTGCGCCTGCAGCGGCTGCGCGGGGAGCAGCGCGCGGTGGCCCCCGCGCTGGAGCCCGCTCCGGCCCGGCTCCAGGGCCTTGGCATCGCTCGGACGTGTGCATTTTTCTTTCGGCGAGGACCATCGAGGAGCATCCTTGATCATTTGGAGAAAAGACCGCGCACGAAACCGAAAAAAGCACAGGGAACGGACGTCCGAGCGATGGCCAGGGGCCGCCGGCCAGGGAGAGGTTTGGGGCGGCCAAGAGGGGGGTAACGACTAAGATCGGCGGCGAGCGAGGGGGGGAAGTGAGAAGGAGAAGGCCTTCTCAGAAGGCGGCGGGGCTTCTCAGAAAGCCTCCGGCCTTCTGAGAAGTGCTCCGTGTTTTCGGGGAGGCTCAGAAATATTTTCCGAAGGCCGGGGAACTGGGGGACTTCCCGAGCCTTGAAAGAAGGTCTTCTCCTTCTCACTTCCCCCCGTGCTCGAAGCCAGACTCGGTGGGGGGAATATCAGAGTGCATGTGAACTAGAGGTTTTTTCTTTTTAAATTGGGTCGGTGGCTGACCCGGTGACCCGGTCACCCGGTGATCCAGTGGGGTGGGTCAGCTGACCCGGTGACCCGGTGACCCGGTGACCCGGTGGGGTGGGTCAGCTGACCCGGTGACCCGGTGACCCAGTGACTTGGTGACCCGGTGGGGTGGGTCAGCTGACCCGGTGACCCGGTGACCCGGTGACCCGGCGGGGTGGGTCAGCTGACCCGGTGACCCGGTGACCCGGTGACCCGGTGGGGTGGGTCAGCTGACCCGGTGACCCGGTGACCCGGTGGGGTGGGTCAGCTGACCCGGTGACCCGGTGACCCGGTGGCATAATATTGGTCAGCTGACCCGGTGACCCGGTGATCCAGTGACCCGATGGCATGGGTCAGGTGACCCTGTGACCCGGTGACCCGATGGGGTGGGTCAGCTGACCCGGTGACCCGGTGGGCCATGAACTTCTTATCTGCGCGAATTAGTTTCCCATCGCAAATTAGCGCAGATACGCATATGAATATTTACTAATTAGCGCTGTCAATCCTAATTAGCGAGTAGCCAGGTTTAAAATTAACGGGCGCGAGCTAATTAGCAAATATACGCGCTAATCATAGCTTGTTGAATTAGCGAGTAGCACGCGTTAATGAGCGCGCGTGGTTTAGTGCGGACGACGTCGCTTTCGACCACTGGCGCGCCTTTTTTCGCCGTTCTAACCATGAGCGCAGTGCCGAAGCCAGTGATGTTTATCCATGCCCATAAATATAATTCCCACCAAGGCACGCATGCAAGAAGACAGGGCCAGCAGAGAGAGAGAGAGAGAGAGAGAGAGAGAAAAAAGAAACGAGGACATATAAATAAAGAGCAGGACAACCAAGAGAGAGAGAGGCAGAGAGCTAAGCTAGGGAGGATCATTCGCAGCCGCCTTCACAGGCGGCTCTTTTATGTTTTTCTTTTTTCCCCAGCAGCGCTATCGCACGCGAGCCAAAGGCTCCATGCGGAACCTGTCCATAACATTGGCAGAGAAGGCCTTTGTGGTCATCGGGGCGCCGCGCCTCCGTGAGATCCTGCCGACGGTCCCTCCAAGATCCTCGTCGCGGTAAGTCCAATTAGCTTTCGGGTCAGATTCTTGGGTGAGGTGCACGAAAATATGGAGTTTGGGCTGTGAGAGTGCGTCGTACAGGAGCACGAAGCGTTTGCCGTTCGTCGCCGTGGTGTCCCTTCTGAAAATAAAAATTGTCCGCAAGGCCTCGTAACAATTATGGAGGTGGTTCGTCGCTGCGAGAATTGTTTGCTCCAGTTCGCTGCCACCGCTGAACAGTCTGTTGCATTCCTCCCACACCCAACCCTCCAGAGCCCTGCGCCCGCCCGCCATGGCCTTTAGTTTCGGGGCGCTCCTGCGGCTTGCCTTTTTGATCATCAAGAGCGTCAGCTTGTGGAGCCTGTCGTCCGTCTTGTCCCTGTCGTAATGGGCTTGGATTGACGACCACGTCTTGTTGAGGCGTTCGGCCCGATTCCCGCCGCCATAGTATTTACTGTCACTTAGAAGGAACTACATCACTGATCCGAACCAATCCAAAGCAACGCCCTGGTCCACACAATGCAACCAATCCACTCGAGACAAGGAAAGGTCATCCACGCAGGGTGCCGACAACAACGGCGATGGCGCGCATCCGTCGCGCATGTTCCGAAGGATAAGTTCAGATTTGGGCGGCTGCGTCCTCGGCCATGGCGCGCCCCCCCCGCGCGTCGCCAACCTGCGGGGAAAACAATTGCACGTAATCAGCCGCCTTCCGTGGCCCCCCGCCCACCAACCCGTTTCCCTGCCCCGAGGGGCAGAGAAACGGGTTGGGAGGGCGCGGGCGGAAGAAAGGAAGCAATTCACGGTCAAACCGCGGGGCGCGGCGCCTGATCGGGCGCGCGCGCACCGCCAGCAACAGCCGCCCCCTCGTTCCAAGCAGGGAGCCCGAACGTGCATTTGTAGTTCACCCAATCTCCTCTGACACCCACCAGAACACCCCGGAAGCCCAACGGTTTGTTGGAGCGACGCTTGCGGTGCGAATCTGTCGCTTGCCAAGCGGCGCCATCGCGCCGACATGGCGGGAAGGCACCGCGTGCCATTGCCGAAATCGACCACCGCGCGATCTCCATCCAGTCGTTGTACGTGTTTGAGCTCATGCGGGATTTGGGAAAGCCGCCACGGGAACCCGCAAAGTCGGGTTGTCACCGCTCAGCCCTGGAAGATTTATTGGAACGAGTTCGACTGAATCGCTGGGCACGCCATCAGTCCAGAGACCTACGGGTAAAAGGGTCGGTGCGCCCATCGCCGCCTGGCATCGCAACAGATGTGTTCTCGCCTCGACGTCCAAACCTTCCGTATCAAAGAATTTCGTCTCATCCGGCTGCGAACATATGACTGAAAACATTTCGTGCGACAGCAAAAAAAAACACATCTGAACGCACTTATCTGTTCAGTTTCGGGCTCCACGTTCTCACCTTGGCCATGTATGTCGGAGGCCACTTGCGCGCCTTCAGGAAATTCCTCTTCAAATATCTGGCGATGTTCTTGCCTTCGCCGCGTCGCACCGCGGCGGCGGTGAAATCGCCGAACTGACCAGGGGGCAATTGGCCAAGCGGCGCCGAGAAATTATGCCCGAGTTCCCGTGCTGACTGCCTGTTTTCGAGGAATGAATCCCTGATGGCGCCGCGCATGCGCTTCGACAGGGAACCGTCGTCCTGCCTCGCCCGCGATTGGCGCTTCTTCCCCTTGAGCATGGGTTCACCCCAAAGCGGCGTGGAAAAGGAAGAGGCCTGAGCAGACGGCTACGGATCAGAAGAACCAGCGAGCGACAGCAGGATTGCCCGTCCCTCTTGGTCTTGTCGACGCGGCCAGCGCCGCGCACCCCGTCCCTCTCTGCCAGCGCCAATGTCACGCTATGCCTTCTCCATCGTCTCCCCGCCCTCCTATAACCCCCACTTCTCCTCCTCCTCCGCCTCCTCCTCCTCCTCCTCCTCCTCTTCCTCCTCCTGCTCCGCTACATTCTCTTCCTCCTCCTCCTCTTCCTACCTCCTCCTCCTCCAACTCGCCCTCTGCCCCCCCCCCCCTCCCCTCCTCCTCCTCCTCCTCGTCCTCCTCCTTCTCCTCCCCCATCCTCCCTCCTCCTCCTCCTCCTCCTCCTCCCCCCCCTCCTCCTCCTCCTCCTCCTCGTCTTCCTCCTCTTCTCCCTTCCCCCCCCCCTCCCCCCCCCCCCCCACCCGCCCCCCCCCCGCCCCTTCCTCCTCCAATCGTCGCGATTCTGTTCTCGGGTGCGCCGCCCCCTATACAGGAGGCGTTTTTTTGCAGGTCGGCAGGGGGTCTTTTTCTGGCGGCGGCGGCGGCCGCGCCGGAACACCTCTCCGCGGCGCGGCGGGCAGATACGGAACGCATGGAAAATATATGGACATATGGAAAATGCGAAGGAGCACAACATGAAACGCTGCGTCGCTCTAGCATCGAGTCACCAGGACGTAGACGCTTGAAAGAAGCAGCGCAATCTGCACGCTCAGACATCGCACCCCTCAGCTCCGCGTGTTGCGTCAAACGCAGCGCCACGTTCGACGTTACTATCGCCCACTTCCTTCAGCGGGAAAAACGCCGTGGGCCTCCTTCCCTAGTAATCAAGGGCTTCAGCGTGAAGGCTTCGCTCTCGCAGGGCCCCCCCCCCCCCCCCAAACAGTGAACGCTCGGCCATTGATGTTTGCGCGTCGAACCCCCGACCTGTCCTGGGGCGAGTTCTGGCCAACTGAATTCCAAATCGGATCCAGCCGCGAGGGCGCCCCCACAAGCCACAACAGTTCATGAAACAACGCTGCGCAACTTCGATATTCGATCCTCGACCCTCGACCCTCGATCCTCGATCCTCGACCCTCGACCCTCGATCCTCGATCCTCGACCCTCGATCCTAGTCTTCGCCCTCCCCGTCGTCGTCGTCGTCGTCGTCGTCGTCGTCGTCGTTGGCGTCGTCGTCGTCTTCGTCGCCGTCGTCGTCTTCGTCCGCGTCGTCGGCGTCGTCAATGTCGTCGTCATCGTCGTCGTTGGCGTCGTCGTTGTTCGTCGGCTTCCCTCCTCTGCCTCAGCCTCCCTTGCATCCTCTCCTCCCCGCTTGCCCAGGGCATCGGGGGCGTGCTCGGGATCGCGATCGACGCGGGCGACGTCGCTTGGATGCCGAACAGCGAGAAGTTCGTCGCGACCACGGGCATGGTCTGCGGCTTTCCTTGCCCTCCATGGTCTCTGTTGGGCTCGGGGAGGGGCATGGATGACTGGCGTGCGAAGGTCGACGGGGGTGGGTGCGACGGTAAGACACCTGCGACCTGCTCTACCTGCCCATGCCCCCCCTCTGATTAGCTTGCATCGTGCTGGCTGCGTTTCCAGGTGCGCCGTAGGATGCTGGAGGTTCTTGAGTGGCTCTACCGTAATGGCTTGATGTGGTTCTGTCTCGAGTACGTTGCTGGCATAGCATGCAAGCGGAAGGGGCCCCCCCAATGTTAGAGGCCGAATTGATGCCGTGGTTCAAGGCCCACATGCCGGACCGCCTCCCGCCCGCCCTCCCACTCCCCCCGCCCGCTTTCCCCCTCCCCCTCGTCTTCCCGCCTCCCGCTCGCCCCCCCCTGGCCCCCGCCCCCTTTCCATATTATCCGTCTCATCCGTCTCCTCCTCCCTCCTCCCCCCGCCGCCCCCTTCCCCTCCCCCCCGTGTCCTCCACCCCCTGCCCCCTGCCTCCGCTCGCGCCTCGATGCCGCGGGACTTCCGCGTCTCCCGGCACAAGGTGGACTCCACGGAGAGCGGCCTCCCGGCCAAGCGGCAGAGAATCTACATCATCGGGATGAGCAAGCATCTGCTACTCGGCGCTGTCTGCGGCTTCCCTGTCCCCCTGCCTCCCATGGCCCCTGCGAAGCTTTCTGAGTTCCTCGACGCCGAGGGCCCCTCCGAGTCGCCGCTCCCCGCTGCTCCTGGCGCCCGCCTGAGCGTGGAGGCCGGGCGTGGAAGTGAGGAATGAGCACGGGGTCGCGGGGGGGCGCGGGCCGGGGGGGAGGTGGCATGGGACCCATAGAGGGGGGGGGGTGGGAGGAGCAGGAGGAGCGCGAGGACGAGGCAGGGGGCCAGGGAGAAAGTAAGGGGGGAGCGACGGGGGGAATAGGATGGGCAGTAAGAGGGGCGGCCTGGAATTGCGCGAGCCACGACGCTGAGGAAAGAGGGGGTGCACTTGACGAGCTCTCTGCGCGAACCATTGGGGCGCAACCTATGTTCATATTGGCATGCCAACGTCCCTGATGGACAGGGGAGGTGAGAGCAGAGGGGTGGACGGGATGATGGGGGGGGGGGGGAAGAGGGGGAGGAGGGGGAGGATGAGGGGGAGGAGGAGGAGGAGGGGGAGGAGGAGGGGGAGGGGGAGGAGGATGAGGGGGCAGGAAGTGCCGTCGCTCCTGAGCAGTATATGTAGCTCCCGCAATTGCGGATAAGAGGGCCTCCAAGTTCAGCAGGCACGCCGCCTGGCGGCGGCCGGGGTGACGCGGCGCCGGGCAAGGGGCAGGGGGGCGCGGTAGAGGCGGGAGGAAGGCTGAGGAGGACGAGGAGGAGGCGAGTCCACATCTTATCCTTGCCCCTTGCCTTCCTCGTGGCCCTCCCCATCCTGTCACTACCCCTGCCCACCAGCCCCTGCCTTTCTCGCCTATCTCAACCGCCCTCTCCCGACCTGCCCCCCTATCCCTCTGCGCCCTTCCCCCCCCCCCGCAAAAGGTGCGCAACAAGCTGTGCCTCGACGTGCAGAAGGCTCGGGGCGAGGCCGCGGGCGCCGTGGCCGTTTGCGATTTGACGCGAGATCCTACCAAAGTGTTCGGGGGGTTTGTGCATCCAGAGTCCTGCGGGGCCCTCGCCACTAAGAACACTTACTTGTGGGTCGTGGGGCGTTTAGATGGCAAAGTGGAGGGCCATGGGCGTTGGCTCAGGCTATCCGAGCGGCGCAGGATCATGGGCCTAGCTCCTGAGAGCCTCGTGGGGGTGATCACTGATAAGGCCTTGATGAAAGCCGTGGGGAACACCATGGCGGTCGGCACGGCGGGCCGGGCGTTGACCCCAATCATGCGGGTATGCAAGAGGTGCGAAGTGAACCAGGGGGGCCTCCCAGTCATGCTGCCCCAGGGGTTCCAGGTGAGCGAGGGCCCGTCGACCAGGTTCGACGTGAGCGATGTCCCGCCGACCGCGAAGAGGGCCCGCACGAGCACCGACTGCCGCGATCACTGCGTTTGCGGTAGGTGCCCGCTATCCACTCCTGGCCATCCGAAGCCGAAGCAGTCTAGGATTCAGAACTTCTTTCAGCCCCCGAGGGCCTAGGCCCGCGGTTTACAGTGCGCGGGCAGGCCGCCGACGTGCGCCCCGCTCCAACCCTGCCCCGCCTTCGTGCTCTTATGAATGATGAACCCATTCTCATTGCACATCAGTCCCATCCGCCCTCCTCTCCTACTCGGGGTAGCTGGACTGATAGATAATTCGGTTTGGCAGCGGGGCTGCCCGACCTCCCACAACGAGCATTATAGGCCCCCTTCCCGTCCGCTGCTTGCTCGGCGGCCGAGAGCGGGGCTGCGCCGCTCCATGGCGACGGGGCCAAGCGAGGCGCCGCGGCGGCTGGGCCCGGCCACCCTGGACGCCTGGGCGAGACGCACTCGGGCCCAGCGCGGAGAGCATGAGGAAGGGAAAAGGGGGCGCCCGTGCCCCTCCGAGGCTGCCCGCAGATGAGAAGGAGGAGGGGTGCGAGGAGGAGCGCGACAGCGCGACGAGGATGACGCCGAAGAGTGCGACGAGAACGAGGAGGAGTACGAGGAGGAGTACGACGAGGAGTGCGACGAGGAGTACGACGAAGAGCACGACGAGGAGCACGAAATACGAGGAGGAGTGCGACGAGGAGTACGACGAGGAGGAGTGCGCGGAACCCTGCTGCTGCGACTCGGAGCGATGCTGGCGGCGACCATGTCCTCCGCAATCCGCTCGGGGCGGATCCGCGGACCCCTCCCGGGGTCCAAGCGCACAAGTTTTTCGCACTGCGCCCGGCCGTGGCGAGGGGGCCCCCACGGGGCCGCCCTCAGGGTGCCCCGATAAGAAGCCCCACTACGACGACGACGACGACGGCGGCGACGACGGCGACGGCGACGACGTCGGCGACGTCGACCGTCGACGCCGCTGTCCGCAGTCGGGTTGGCTGGGGATGCCGCTCAGTGCGGCGGCGAAGGAGAGGGGGAAGGAGAGGAGGCGCGAGGAGGGCGAGAGACACAACCTGTGGGAAAACGACGTGGACGCGGCAGAGCCGCGCACAGGACTTACCTCTTACCTCCTCCGTCCTCCTCCTTCCCCGGTCCCCTCTTCCTTCCTCCTCCTCGCACTCCTTTTCCCTACTCCTCATCCCCCTCCCCCCTCTTCCCCCCTCCTCCTCTCGCCCTCGTCTCGCGCCCCCCCTCCACCTCCCAGGACCTGGTGGTGTGGATGCGTAGGCCTGGGAGGAGAGTCACCGCGAGGTCTCGGCATCTCGCGAGGAAGGCGGAGAGGGCAGAGATGATTCGCAGCGCGGGGCTGAAATGCACGGAGACAAGCGGCAAGGCAACGTGCGAGGGCGATGAGGGCCAGGAGGGGGTGGGGGGGAGGGGGGGAAGGGCAAGGACAAGGGCAACATCGCCTGGGAGTAGGGGCCCCACTCCGCGCGGGCTCGGCGACGACGGTTCAGTTGCTGGTTGCAGCGAGCGAAAGCACGCATATTCCTTTACCCTCGCATCCTTGCCTCTTTCCCGTTTCCCGTCTCCGTCCGTAGCCGTTTTGGCTCAAGTTTCGGTTTGGATTAGCTTATCCGTTGCGTCGCCATGTCTGGTGACGCCCCGTGGGGGCGCCCAGAAGCTCTCGCTGATCATCTCGTGGGCGGCAGCCCGTTCCGCCAGCGACGGGTCGGTTTCTTGGACATCATGGCTGAGCTGGGCGCCGACGTCTACCCAGCGCGCCCTCGCGCCGTCGATGTTGAATGCCACGGGCGCGCCGTCGATGCTCCGCGCCGCGATTATGCCGCCCATGTTGCCCCAGAGCCTGTTGAGGCTGCATGCCGCGGACGCGCCATCGATGCTGCAAGCCACGAGTGTGCCGCCGATGGTGTCGCCGAGCCTGTCGATGCTGCAAGCCGCGGACGTGCCGTCGGTGCTGATGGCCACGATTGTGCCGTTGATCCTGGCGCCGTTGAGCTCGTCAGCGCTGCAAGCCGTGGACGCGCCGTCGGCGCTGGCAGCCGCGATTGCGCCGTTGCCCCTGGTGTCGCTGAGCCCGAGGGCGCTGCAAGGCATGGGCTTGCCGTCGACGCTGCTCTCGCCGAGCCCGTCGACGCCGACAGCCGCGGTCGCGCGAGGTCAGCGACGGGTTCAGCCAGCGGCGCTATCTGCAGGTCATCTGCTCTGGCGGCTGGCGGGAGGAACAGGAGCAGGAGTCGCAGGCGCAGGAGAGGAGCAGGAGTCGGCGATGCGAGCCCCGCGAGGCATGTAGCCCCGCAGGCAGTGCCGTCGCTGGCGGTGGGATCACCTGCGAATCCAGTGCCAGCGCGGACGGTGCGATCACTCGCCGATTCAGTGCCAACGCTGGCGGTGCCTGTCGCCCCTCAGTCCTCCCAGAGGCCACGCCGGCCTTGGCTGGCAGCAGGGATGCTTGGCCGCCGAGTTGATGATGGCGACGGCAGTGGTTCAGACAGCCCCGGTGGTGGCCCCGACCGTCTCGCCCTGGCGTGGGAATCGGCGCTGGAGGATGCGTTGGATGTGATGCGCCGTTCTGCTGAGAAATACCGTGAGATTTCAATATATGGCGGATCCCCGCTCTTGAGCGACCTCCTCGTTAATATATCGCGGGCTGAGCTGCAGCGGCGCGTCGGCGCCGCAGTTCGCCGCGCCGCTTCTGGGCCAGGAGGGCGGGCGTACATCGGTTCCACTTCCTGCCCGATGTGGCGCTGGGAGGGGGGGATCTACTGGGGCGAATCCAGCGACGTCTCCGCGCCGGCCACGACCCCCGAGCACATGCCAGGCCACCGACTCCAATGGGGTCAGATGCTCGTGTTGGGGTCGTGGCCGGATGCGGAGACGAAGGAGCTGGAGCCTGTCGCCATCTCTGCTGGGCGCCACGCTGCAGAGGATTTGGGCGATGAGGATCGGGGGGAGGACAAGCGACACCACCGCCAAGAGGGCCCCCCCCCCCCTCCAGCGAGGAGGTCCACGATGCTTCCCCATGGTGGACCGCGCCGCCAGATGTACCCCCCCCCGGCTTCTCGCCCTGGCGGCGGCGGTGTAATTTTTCCTCGCCCCTCACATATAAATGCGAATGAGGCAGATGACGCCCGCGGCTTCCATGTCAGGGCCACGCCCGCGTATGCATTCCTCTATGTATGTTCTGGACTGCCACAGAGATCACATGCCTCCTCCTGCTCCTGCTGCTGCTCCTCCCTGCTCCTCCTCCTTCCTGCGTGCCCGCTGCTCCGCTGCTCCTCCCGCCTCCTGCTCCTGCTGCTGCTCCTCCCTGCTGCCCCCCCCTCCTGCGGGTCCAGCCCGTGCTCTGCTGCTGCCTCTGAGGCACTTCGTCCCCGTATGCGGGGCTTAGCGACGCAGAGCGGCAGAGCAAGCATCAGCAAGCTGGCAGGCACGAACGAATTGGAAGAACGCAACGAGGAGGGTGGGCGCAAGCGAGGGGAAGAACACGAGTGGGAACGCAGGAACGACGACCACGAAGCAACGGAGGGAAACATATGGGAAAAGGGGACCGGGCAACGTTGCATTTCACTACCCCACCCCCCCGTATCGGATTCGCTGTTTTTGCAAAGTCTTTTCAATTTTGCGCGAGCCCGTGCTATGTGCATTGCTACGAGCGCCGCATGTTCCTTGGGGCGCTATCATTTGTTTTTTTTTCGTGTAGGGCGCGGTCGAGACGCGAAAACTGTTGCGTTGGCGGCTGCGGGTTGCCCGTCGGAACGTGTATCCTCGCTCAAGTGAATGTCGCTTATGTGTGTCAATTTCTGTTCTGCGCGCGAAGATTTGGCCGATTGGTTGGATTTCGCCATTCTTCGGTGGGCGAGTAGTTGTTTTTCGCAGGCGTGTTTTGCCGTGGTTCCCGAGCGCAGGGGGCGTTTTCAGCTTCGGCCGATCGGTTTTCTCAGTTGGCGAAAAGTTTACCCTGCCCCCGCGCCGTGAAAGTCGAACAGGGAACCAGCGTGGGCCAAAATGCGGCACACATCACAAGTTCAGATCCCTTTGAACATCGATTTCACAGTGGTTCAGAACCCTTGAACCACCCTGACGGGCCCTTCACCCCCGCTTAACAGGCTCTTAACAGACGCCGAGGAGTTCGCCGAGGAGGCTGCTCCGATCATGCGGCCGGTGCCGCCTGCTGTGCCGCCGCCAGGGTTCGAGCCGCGGGGCCCCGCGGTCGAGGAGGCTGCAGGCCCTAGGGCGCCCAGCACGCCGCCGAAGGCGCGGCCGAAGTCGCGCGCCGCCCCGCGCGGCAAGGGCGGCAGCGACGGCCCACCTTGCAAGGGCAAGGGCAAGGACAAGGACAAGGACAACTTCGGCTGCTCCAGCGGCAGCGGCGGCCCACCTTGCGGCAAGGGCAAGGGCAAGGACAAGGGCGGCGGCGGCCCACCTTGCAAGGGCAAGGGCAAGGACAAGGGCAAGGGTGGCAAGGGCAAGCTTGTCCGCGACGGGGATCAGCAGCGGCGTGGCGGCTGGTTCAATCGGGCGCAGCAGCTCTGCGAGCTGTTGCTGCAGGGCGAGTGCGCCGACGCGGCCGCCCTCGCGGAGGAGTTCTACGCTGGGCCTGCACAGGTCTGGGTCGGCGCCGAGTTGGCCTGCGTCGACGACGCGCAGGATCCATAGGCGCTGCAGGCGCTCACCGCGCTATGCAGCGCCTGCGCTGGCCGCTGAGGAGGCCCGCGCGCTATGCGGCGCCTGCGCCGAGGAGGCCCGTGCGCTATGCAGCGCCTGCGCCATGCGGGCGCCACGTGAGAGCTGCGGCGCGGCCGCGGAGCATTCCACTACTGGTGGGCGACGGAATGGGACGGTAACGCAGCAGAGGTAGACAGGGGGAGAGGGGGGACTATAGTAGAGGTAGACAGGGGGAGACGTGAGATACATAGGAAATGCGAGGGGAACGATGGAGACGCAGCGCGGGGGGGAGTGAAGACACATTGGAGAGAGACGGTAGACAGGATGCCCGCAGCAGCGGGCATCCACTCTCCCGTGAGCGAGGGGGACAGCGAACGCATAGTGAGAGGATACATGCTGTAGCAACCCAACATGTAAGATCAATGGGAGCAATGGGGGGTGGATTGG